GGTTGTACCTGAATTCTAGGGTCCACCTCCTCGTCTTCGTACTCGGTTTCCTCACTAGACCGCTGCTCATTTCCCGGCTGCTCCATGTAAACAAAGACTCCGGTCACCGCACGTCGGTTTTACTTACTGAGGATGTTTTTATCCCAAAGTTTTATTCCAGGCAGTTGATTAATTAAGGCATTAATTTCTTTAAAATTTCAGGCTGTTTTGTTGAAAACAGACGGAGTCATACAGCATCGTCAGACACTGTCCTCACGCCGCTCTCTGTTCATTCTGAGCCCGCAGCCAGAACACCACCGCACTGCTTCTCTCTGGCCCCGCCCCCTACCGTGAGGGGCGCTGTAGCACCACAGAGAGGCTGAACAATGCTTTTATTGGGCGAGTTCATCCGTTTACCCGGCATTAGAGAAATCCTGACCAAAATTTGACTTGAACTGCTGTTACTACTCATACTACTACAGCACTACTATTGCTGATACTACTATAAAGTACTAGTACTAAAATAAGCATCATCAGTATCAACCTCATCATACTAAAAGGGGCCACTCAGTAAAAGAATATTTTGTCCTCTTGCGTTACAGTAATGAATCCCAAAATGAGGGCTGAGGCCCCCAAGGCGGTGCAGAGCTACTGGAGGGTCACAGTAGAGCACACGTGTAAAACTAGGTGTGGGAGCTTAAAAAGTCTTTACTTTCCTTAAAATCAAGTCCATGCTGCTGAGTTTCTTGACTCAATAAATTTAATTAATTAACTGCATGTTTTAAATACAGCTCATGGAGTGTTAGGGCAATAGCTGTGAAAATGTCATGTGTATGTGGGTTTTCTTCATGTGGAATTTAATTATAGGAAAACGGATTGAGTAGTGTACGTTTTTATTGTTAACTGACCATAAGAATTAGTTTTGATTGCTCAGGGGTCCAGTTATTGCTGGAAAGACCAAAGGGCGGTTTAATTTATTTCATATACTGTATGGTCTACTTCTTGTTTTTGTCATTTTGTTCCATGAAGGATTAAGGGTACATAACCCAAATGCACTCTTGGAAAACGCCTTTGTTTTTAAATGCAATACCTAGTTTAAAATTATTATGATTGGCTTGAGTAAAAGGAGGATCCCTGGGTTATTTTTCAGTTTCATTGTGTAAGTAATATCAGTTGTTGATGAATATGTGTTGCATTTTATAAATACTTTCAGTAGCTTCTTAGTATTTGCTGGAAGTCTTGGTCATTCCCCAGTATTTGCTTAACATGTTCTGGTCAATGCATTGTATCAGTTTAAAATGACGTACGTGACATGATAAACCAGCATATCGTTATCTTGAAAGCACAGTGTCCAAGAAATGTAATCAAATCATCTTATTATCCAACTCCAGTACTGTAACTGTCCTTGTGTTGGAAACACACTTTTAAAAAAAGGTATTAAAAGCATATAAAGTCAGAAAATACTGTGACACAAACTAGATATGATTTAATTTCATGCTTTTGCACATTGGTTGAATATTAACGTCATACTGCAAGGAGAGCAAAAAACAAGTAAAGTAGGGTATAAAATGTTTACTTAATGACTATTTTAATGAAGTTTGTCATAGTCGTTGCCCACTGAATGTGTCTTAAACATTAATCTTTTAATTTTCATATGGATAACATTGTAGCTTTTTGGAGGGTAACTTTAAGTACCAGTCAGCCAGAAATAGCTAACAATGATTTTAGTAATAAAAACGTTTTAGTAAAATAACAAAACAAAAATAATAAAGCTAATAATTTTCTCTATCTGGATCAAAGAGTAATTTCATTAGTATAGTTCACAGGGTAAAATGTGCTTAGTCATCATGGCTTCTTTGTTGCTAACAAAACATGCTAATGTTCCTCATCCTCCACAACACAATTGTCTCAAACGGCAACAATTTTACAATTTCTTGATCTCATATTTGGGAAATTCTTGCGTAAACACCAGATCTGCTGCAACAGATGTGACAGTACATCCCTTTCCATCATAATAAAAAAGAAAAAAGTACTCTTTTTTTTTTTACATTTTATTAAGTAAAAATAGCCAAAATTGAGTATTTTGCGATCAAACACAGGGCAGAAATCCTGGGTGAGGCAATGGAGAGCTGTGCCTCACATCTATATACACATGAATAGTGAAATAAGATGCTCTTTTCTGTTCTTACAATTGTAAATCTGACTCCAGAGGAGTCAGTGCCTCACCAGCCATGAACCTCATCACTGGTTAGTTTGAAAGCAGGGCCTCTTCTTGCAAAAACTGTTTTCTGTGTTTATCTGATCCTCACACAATATAATCTCCTGACAGATGCTTACCATGTAATTGGGCTGGCATATAAGTTTCTGTTGACCCTTTCAAGTTGCATGTGAGCGGAGCTGCTCTGCATTAAAATGTGTGAAAAATGCTACAAGGCTCACTGTCTCAGGAACTCTTGAAGGATATTTATCTGCTGAAAAAGGGGCCCACTCCGACCCTGAATGTAGATATATATACAGCATATATAGACAGCTGAAATAATGAGCTTTTCTGGTACAGTCGTCAAAGCACGCTCTTTCTATCAAAGAAAAAGTTCTAAGAGACTAAACTAAAAAGAAAAAAGAATGTGAATGTCAGCGGTCAACTGTAGGGGGCGCGCTGATATTGAAACGTTTGTATAACGGAAATAGGAATACGTTGTACGGTCCTTATTTCCGGTTGCGGATCCGGCGAATGAGAGTTGAGTTTTGGCCGTTTGGGTTTCCAGCGGGCGTTCGAGTAAAACAAACCGGGGACGGTGGCTACATGTGATTGATTGAAATGGTGGGTTTTTGAAAACAACTGTCGGTTGTATTTTGTTTGAAATGGTAGTCGTTCGGTCGAGATCGTTAGTGCAATTTACGCTAGCATGTGTATCGGCAGCTAACGTTAGCTTTTGTCAGAAGTTAAAATGATTCGTAGTTAGTTTTTCGTCCTAAATAATGAACATAGAGTTGTGGTGGTAAATAAGAAATTGACATTTGACAGGAGTTTGAGCTGGGCTGATGCACCTTTTTGAGAATATGAAACGAACTTGCAAATATTCCTTTTCTGTACAGAAACCCATCCTGCTGCAGGATGGGAGCGATCAAGTACAACGGAGGAGGAGACCTTCTGTTCCTTCTGCATCGTCGCTAAAGATCCGGTGAGTGACACAAAATTATTGTGCTTAACAAGTGCCACCAATGACTGTAGGATGGTAATTAGATGGGCGTGAACAATATGGAACTTCCACGTGGAGCAACAAATGGCAACACGACTCTGCTAGTCGAGTAGCAAAGTAATCCTAAACAAACCTAAACAAATTAATACCCTAGAAGAAACATGACTGCATTGGTACACGGCTTCCTGATTACTGCTAAAGAAATAGTTTGAACACGATATTATAGAAATGAATTACTGAGGGAAATAGTGAATCACAGACAGCATCTTTTGTAGAGCTTGTGATAATGAGAAACGTTTTGTTTTGTTTATTTGTTGTCAATATTCCGGAATATGGAATTGTGAGGTGACCCCTGCTCCAAAGTAGAACAATAGAAATAAGTGAATAATAAATGTATTTGAAGATATTTATTGATAGTTTGTAATGCAACTTTGTGTGAACTGAAGTAAACATTGACAATTTGCTGGGGGTTGCAACAAGATACACAGAAAAACCGCACAGTAGTAGGTGTGGTTACTTTGAGTGTGTCCACTTGATCATGTATTTACAATGACATTTTCTGTCCATACTACAGACCTCTCGTAATGTGAATCCACTGATTTAAGAAAAGTACATCTTAGAGAGAGATGAGTGGTACAGTTTGAAATGAACTGGCTGTTATGGTTTTGTGTTACTTTTTAATGTTGACAGATTGCAGTCCAACAGAGCTAAGTGACTTGACTGTCTGTGTCTTTAAGGCCTTGAAGAGAGATGAGTGCTTGAACAAAAGATTGCTTAGTTCAAAGCTGACATTGTGAGGCTGTTAAAGGCTCTACGTCAGCCACCCAGATCGAGTGGAGTAAAAATGAAATGATTATTTAATTTTTTGTTTTGGAATCCAAGAGGTGGACTGCAAATGACTGAGTGCCATGTGTTGTCTTTACAGCTCTTTGACTGTGCCTCTCTGGATCACATCAAGACTTTTAAAACAGAGAGACCGGTGAACTCTGACATTGCCATTTCTCCAATCACGTAAGATGAATTTGTCACTGTGCAATGCGTATCCTGGTAGATCAACAGACAGACCTTGACCCTTGCCTGTGTTATAGGTGCTTATGGGACGTAGACAGGAGGCCATGGAAGTGACCACAGCTTCCACCAGGACTGGCAAGTTTGAGGCCAGGTGAGTTGAAGTGGTGTTTCCAGAGTATTATTGTGTGGTTGAATAAAGCATCCAGTGCCTGTTGTCTTCATCTGAGCAAAAGAAAGAGCAGATGTTCTTTATTCGATTCGGGTGTTAGCATTGGCACTGAAGAAGCCACCACTTTGTTACAAACAAAGGCCTTTGTGTAGTAATGAAATATCTGTTTAAGCATTGAATTTGTATTGTTGTTGATAGTGATGTGTAAACATTTAGTTGTTATCACATTTGATTGTGCAACAGTCTTTCCAATGTAATATTGGCAGTGCTGTGGAAGTGACTACTTTGTAGCTGCTTTTAAGGAAAACCTGTTTGTTTGTGTTAACATGTGGCACAGTGACGTGTTCTTCTAATCTGCAGGTTCTTCCAAGCTGCGTATGAGGAGGCGTTTGGCAGGAGTCAAAGGTCATTTTGGTCCCATCAACTGTGTGGCTTTCCACCCTGACAGCAAGAGGTAAATGAGACCAACACAGCTTTTGATTGTTCTAAAAATAGTTACATTGAGGGCAATGTAGGTTTTTTTGAAGGTGGTTCCAAGAGGCTACTTCATTTCTACTGAACTGAAGAAGCCTCTTGGATGAGAGGTGAAACACCATAAAAAAACCCTACTTTGTCCAGTTGCCCTCAGTGTAACTATGTTTGGATTAAATGACTGAGAACCTACACGGACAGCTTTTGATTGTGTCATTCATTGTGCTTTGTATGCTGTTGTCATTGTCTTGACATATATTGCCATGGAGGAGAAGACTTGTGAAGCAGGTCACTTGTTTTTTGCTGGACTGAGTGTTTTACTGAAACGTGTAATTCAGCTCATTCCACGATAGTCACTTTTTTGGCCATCGAGAGCTGTATTTGACTTAAGGCTGTTGTAAACGTTCCAGATTAAGCAGAACTGAAAAACCCTTTTCTAAAGGTAAAGAAAGAGTGAAAAAAACAATTTTATTTTTACTGAGGTTGTTTTTTTGTAGTAATGTAAAAATTCATTGTGTGCTGTATTTGACTGTAAACCTTTCAGAATAAAGAGAATATTTGGACCATTATGGGCATTCATTTCCAGATATTTGAGCAAATATGAATGGGGTTTGTCAAAGTCAAGGGTAAGAGTAAAGAAAGAGAAATGAACAAAAGATGTATATATTTTTCACATTTTTTTTGACAAAAGGTTTGCTATTATTACGATGTCACGTACAGTATTTCCATCTCTGGTTTTCTTCACTTTGGCGATTAACTAGGACTAGTATTCAACAGAGCGTTTGGACGGTTTGTGTTAAAACGGAATGGACGCTGCCGAACAGCGGAGTGGGGAAGCCGGTTCTACAGTACAGTAGCCTGTTTGAGCCGCACGCATCGCTTCAGTCAGCGTGTTAGGATTGAGTGGTCCAAACATTTTGGGTGTTGCGACTTAAGCTACGTGTGTTGAAGTGGCTTTTTCTGTGGGGAACGTTTCCTTTAAAGCGGTTCTTGCATCTTGCATTTTGTGGTTTATTGTAACGATGAGACATGCATGAAGAAGACGAGACATTATTATCAAAGGTACGACCTTACCCTCATGTATTATTAAAACATGTGTGCGCACGTATGCAGCTGATTAAGTAAATCCCTTCAGGTGTAGCAGCAGACCCATATTGCCATCACCTGGGCCGGTGGACTCCACCACGCCAAGAAGTCCGAATCAGCTGGGTTCTGTTACGTGAACGACATCGTCCTGGCCATTTCTGAGTTGCTCAAGTAAGAAAAGAAACATTTCAAGTTTTTTTTTTCTTTGTCACCAGAAATGAAACTTTTGGACAGCATTTACAGAATCTTGTAAAATGTTTACAGGACATCGGGGCTGGGAAGAGCAAATACTACGCAGTAAATTATCCAGTCAGAGATGGTATCATCAGAGAGCATATGTGGACTGTTTTCTTTATTTCATCTTGTGTTTCAGGCCAAAAGAAGAGGTTTAATTAAGTTGTTTCACTCCTGATGATGGGACCTTTGTTGAATCCTGTGAGCACATGTAGTTGTGAGTATGTGATCTGTCCAACTTTACATGAAGTGTTAAAATAAAGCTGTAATGTGTATCTATGGACTTTGTAAATGTAGAGTGTTTTTGCTATTAAAAGAGTCAAAAGTTATTCATTGGGCAAGTATTGTGGTTGGGTTTTTTTAACTTAGCTTTTTACTCATAGCGTACTTTTTTATTAATTTACAGCGTTTTACTGCAAGTATAAAAAATAGAGGTTTTTAGCACAAATTATTCACTTGGAGTATGTCTTGGGGCATAAACTTTACTTTTCCCTTGTCCTCTCGTTGTACTCCAGT